CCTAGGGTTAGCTGGTGTTCAGTTGTTATTTATTTCAGTTTTATTTTGTTCTATTTGTTATGTAAATACTAAGGGCAGATCTGTCCTTTCCATGTAATGAGCAYAACCTATAAATACTAAATAGAAGTGRCGGCRGCAGAACATTCAGATTCTGTCCCTCCTTTCAACCCTTTGTGTTCTACAGTTCTCTCTTCTCYTCTCTACAYTTTCCTTCTATTTTCGAACCTGAAATCTATTAGGGTTCAAGGCTGATAGCAGTCTTGAACTTCTACTGTTAATGATATGAACAATGAGAGTTTACTAGTGGATACGGTGAATAACTATCTTTAGTAAAATTAAACATAAAATAAGTGAAAGTGGAAACAAGTGAATGCTGGTCTAGTGTTGATTTTTGTGTTCCATAGGCAAAATCCTTGCTATGGCAGATCCCTTAACTATCTATTCGAGGAGTTGCGCATGATATCAATCAGCCTGGTTTTGAGTTTAGGTGTTTCAATTCATTAGAAATTTCAAGTCAGAGAGCCATTAACTGTAACTACTGACTAGTTAAGGAGATACTTCTGAACATCTTGACTCCACTTCTCCAGCATTCTGGGAAGCTGCTTCTATGTTTTGTTGGTTTTACTTTTAAAGGTTCCAATTTTTGTGCTAGGAATTAAATCAGCTTTAGCAATTAGCACTTTAATAGATGCATATGAAAAGCTTCTGATCTTGATTAATTTAAATGTATATAGGAGGGAGAGTTTGCAAGCCTTCCAGTGAAAAGACTAAGAAAAAGGCAAATGCGGAATTTCTTCCTCTGCCTCATGGTCTCCCAAGTAAGGTTTAAATGATTTCCATCATCTTGTTTTTATATAAATTGACCCAAAAGATAATTTTCTTTCCAATGAAAATCAGCAAAAGAAATTGGGTAATGTTACGAGGATCAAACATTTGTTTCAATACTAGTGATGTAGTTTATCTCTTTTCATTTACCTAGTTCTGTGGCAGGAAAACTTCAGTTGATTGATTTTATCGGTGCAATAATGATTGGTAACTCAACTCAGCCTTAGCTCCAACTGTTCAGGGTAGGCTACATGAACACAGGGAAATCAGCTATCAACAAAGAATTTAAAAAAAAATAAATAAAGATGCAGAGCAAACATACGCAAATAAAAAGAAGCCACACCTTGCAAATGCACACACATCTGACCAGCTCGACCATAAAATCCAAAAACACAATTATACCTACTGACCAGCCTTGCAAGTGCACCTATAAAACTCATCAAAGTGGAAGAAGACTCACAATTATACCTACTGACCAGCCTGACAAAAAACCAAAAACCAATACCCAAACCCTCTATCACTCAGGAAAAAATAACAATGCCCAACCTGCACTAAAATACTGCTTAATGCAAAACCATAACAAGATATTTTTCTTTTTCCACCTCTTCCCCTCTCCATTATCTTCCCGTCTCTACTAACTAAATCCCCAATAATGTCCCTCTCTAGAAGATTGGGAATGAAGATGTCTTCATTATCCTCCAAAGTTACTTCTAATATATAATGGATCAAAATAGTGATATTTATTGTTCCTAAACCATATTAATCATCCATATTTCATAATCATAATTTATGATACCTGCACGCTTTGTTTAACCCCCCACCCCCAAGAAAAAAAATGTCTTTAGGACAAAACATTGATAGAGGCATAGATGTTTGTGAGTTGGAGCCACCAAACATTGATATACCTGCACGCTTTGTTTACAACCTTTTCTGGTCCTAGGTTTAGACAGATTAGATATGTATAGTGGGCACATACTAAAGTTGTGAACTGATATTATTACCAGATATTTCAATTTGTAGTTTAATGCATGCATTGAGTGCTGAAACATCAAATATCCACTTGCCTTATGCAATTTAAAAATTTAATAGCTTATTGATTATTGTTGATAGTTTATTGTTTTGTCCTTTCTGTTACTCATGCAACCTTTATTGGATATCAATAACTAAACATATCTGGTTTGTTATGTATATTTGTGGGCGCCTAGGTGATGCCTAGGCGACAAAGCGCCCTTTGAGGCTCGCCTCGCCCAATCGCCAAACAGTTTTCTACTTCCTACTATAAAATACTTTTTTATTCATTCTTTTTTGAGATTATAATTATAAAATAGACATTATTAAACTAAAATAATCATTTTGTGTGTTTATATACTATTTTCTTTTTATTATTTTCTTATTTATTAGGGTCTAATCAACACAAACATTGCTAAATGCTGTATTGAACCCTCAAAGACTTAAAAACCTGAACCAATAAGTAAGGAAGAACTAAAAATTTTATCTAATCAGCACATTTTCCTCTTCCATATATTCTTCTTCTTCTACCAATACTTTTTATTTTCTTCTTTTCCTATAACAAAAACAAGGGCTCAGCCCCTACATTTTTTGAATTTTATTTTCCTTCTTCCTTTTCTTCTCATGAATATGTTGATTTTCTATACTTTTATATGAAATTTATACTTTTCTTATGAAAACCATGAATAATTATTAAAGAAATATGGTTATGGTACCTAGGGAACTACCCTAGGATCTATTTTTTAACATAAAAAAAATCCATCGCCTAGCGACGCCTAGGCGACTAGGCGCCCCTCAGTCGCCTAGCCTCGCCTTGGCACCTTGAAAACTATGAGTGAAACATTTTATTAATAGATATCAGAAAGATTACAAGACAAAACAAGCATATCCCTTGGGTAGGGTAGCAATTACCAAAACCTGTAATTGTAAGCTATAAAAATAATTTGGTTGTAACTTCTAAATAAAAGAAATGTTGGGTCTAACAATAACACATGCCAAAACTTTGTCTCTATAATGAGGGAGGCTCTTTATATAATAATGAACTTATCCAAATTTACAAGAAAAGCCCCAACAGATCTAATATTACTGTAAAGTCCATAATTACATATATTCTTCCTAAGATAACTCCATTCCTCATACAAACTGAATACTCCAACTGTCCAACATCCCCTTTAAGGTACAACCTGGAAAGAAATAATGTAATCTTGGTAGCAATACTACAGTGCTTCTCTTGAACAAAGCAACTTGAAGATTCCAGTATGGCATTAAGTAGTTCTTGCACCATACCTACAAGGATCCAATCAGGTTGCTTGCCCTCATGGCAGCAATTTGGCTCTTACCCATGGCAAGAGAAGTCTCCAATTGATTAGACAGTACTCATGGTGGCTCACAGCTCTTTCCCAAGACAACCAAACATCTAGTCCACCTCTTGACAATTTCCCCAATAATGTCAATATGCTACCAACTTAACAAAGACCCAAGCATAAATATAGCAGTATGAGGAACACTCTACCAGAAACTTTGACATAATAAATACCCTAATGACATACAAGAACAACTAAAAAACAAATGGCTCTTAAGCATGACAAAGACTCTCCCTCAATCAAAGTATGTAGCCTCTCAAGAATTTCATCAAACACAATGCACATGAAATCTTGGAGCTGGAAAACTTGGACAATTCAGCAACATACATCACCAAGGGATACTCAACTGAAAAGTGTGCTTATGACCAAATAAACACTTTCCATTTCTTATAATTTTTAAATTTTCTGTTTTTTAGCCTGTAACCAGACATTTAAATTCTTCCAATAGCACATGAAAACAAGACTATCCTTCTAATCATCCCTCGAGGAACACATATCAAACTTTGGTGATCATATAACCCAAAGTAGAATCAAATTCACCCAAAGGTTAGATTCCAAAAGATATTTGTAACCCTACACATAGGGTATAATAGATCAGCCCTTTTGGGATTTGTAGAAACTGAAGAAATAGGGTGCACTCATTTTAGAGGCCCTAGAACTCCTCAAAACTAACATTTCCCACTATATTATGATCTATGAAAATCAAGAATAGCTGTATGCCACAGTATTCCACCCAATAATGCTGAATACAGAGTATCTTTGGTTCTTGATTTTAGGAAAAACTTCAAGACTCCTTAAGACCAAATTACCTTCAATTGATTTTATATAAATCATCTAAAACCAGGCAAACATGATGACTTGATCAGCTTTTTTAATGCTCCACCAATTATCAGCCAACAGACTAAGAACTTACACCCCAAAGCATTGTAGGAGTAGCCCTAAAACAAATTGGCCCTCAAATAGAGGTAGGCATTTGCTCCCTGCTTCACCAAAATTTACTCTGTGACCAACTCTGTAGAATTTTGTACGTGACCAAGCAATGCAATACTGTCGTATAAAACTATAAAAACTATCAATGAGATACCTTCTTAGCCACCAATAAATTCTGAAAAAATCTCCAAAAATCTTCTAAGAATCAGGAAATTCAAGAATGAATTGATATCTTTATTAAAACAAGAACATTTCTAGTTAAGTTTGAGCTTTCTATAAATGGTAAATTCCTATAATTACTATTTATAGAAAACTTTTGTATTACTATTTATAGTAAAATCCAATTCTGATGAAAGGAACCTCAAGAGGAGGCAAAGATTTAGAACACGGAGGTCAAACTAACTATCAACAATGTTGGATTTAGAGGAGATTAAACAAAAAAATAATAGAAATACAAAAAAAAAACTTAAAAAAATAAGACTAAACAAAAAGAATTCAATTGGCAGGTAACTGCATGATTATATATCATGATTACTTTGGACAAAAATAAAAACCAATAAATCTGATATTACTTTGATGTCCACAATTATATATTTTCTGCCTAATATAACTGCACTCCTACAAACTGAATACTCCAAATGGGTAGATTATTCTTCTTCCCAAAATGAAATCCATCCTTCAATTATGGATGAAAAATGTTCTTTTCCTTTTCATCTTCTCATGTTAATGCAACTTTCATTGTTCCTTTCATGCCCAGGTTGTTAATGTCCATATAAAACTAAATAATGATTTACTAATCAGAGAGTGGTCCTATGTCTTCTTTTGATTAGGGTGTGCCAATGATTTACATGGGCGATGAATATGGCCACACTAAAGGTGGAAACAATAATACATATTGCCATGATAACTATGTGAGCTCCTACTTGCTGTTTGCATGTTGTTTGCTTATGCTAATGGAACCTAACTTTGGAGCCTGTCCTATTGGTTCCGACTGCAGATTAACTATTTCCGGTGGGACAAGAAGGAAGAATCATCTTCTGACTTCTTCAGGTTTTGCCGCCTCATGACAACGTTTCGGCGGTAAAAGCATCCACATTTGAGACATACATATTTTAATCTGGTTAATATTTCAAAGCTCCTTATTTGATCTGTATGTTGTATGATACAGTGAATGTGAATCACTTGGTCTTAATGACTTCCCAACAGCAGAGAGGCTTCAGTGGCATGGTCATGCCCCCAGGATGCCTGACTGGTCTGATACAAGCCGATTTGTAGCTTTTTCACTGGTATGTTTCTTCTCAGTCATCTTAACAACTGCATGCACTATGATAAAAATTCTTTTCCTGGGTTATGTTGGCTTAATTTAAAAGGAACAAGACTTAGATATATCATCAATCCTGGCATGCTTTGATCAGTGACATCCATGAGTTTTTTTATTTAAGTCTCCCTTTTTTATTTAACAGCTATGCAAATATTCTAGCCATTTTCTGGACCTACTAATATTTGCGATGCAAGTAGGGCTGAACCCTTGGAATTACTGCAAGGAGTGATATTGAGAAGCTCTCTCAATTACAGAAACCTTCTGATAGAAATGTTTCTGAGGTGGTTATGGGGTATTTCTAAAATAAACAGCGTAGGGTCTTGGCAGTACAAACACATCATAAAATAAGTGAGGCATTTTGGCTATGAAATTCAGAACAACTTTCTATTCAGTTCAAAGATTAGTAAATAGTCTAGCTGATGTATGTATAAAGTGAGAACAATGGGCCAGGCAGTAGGGGAAGCCTAAGGGGTGCTCGGTACATACCATCTACATCATTCTTTTCCATAAATTAATAAAATTCTTAATAGTATTATCAGTAAAACAAGGCAGAAAAAAATAGAGGAAGAAAAGAGAAGAGAAGAGAGAGGGGAGAAAAGAAGAGAAAGATTGGAGACCAAAAAACTGGTGGCGCCAATTCTAATTAGTATAAATATAGGGTGGCATATTAAAAGGAACAAAAAAAGACAACAGTGCCCTTGCAGTACACATACTATATAAATTATTAACGATCTAACACTCCCCCTCAAGTTGGGACATAGATGTCAATCAGGCCCAACTTGCCACACAAATTATTGTGCCGCAAGTGATGGAGGCCCTTAGTGGAGATATGTGCAAGTTGTTCTTTTGAGCTAACATAGGGAGTGCAGACTTCTCCACTCACAAGTTTCTCCCTAATAAAGTGCTTGTTAGTTGTCACTTCAATGTGATTTGTCCTGTCATGGAGGACTAGGTTGGTTGCAATATTGATGGCAGCGACACCTAAAGACATGCATTGGAATAGAGAACAAAGGGGCCTTAGGAAACAAAAGTCGATGTGGGGCCTTATACTCTAGCAATTAAGATGGCATATGGTTGATAATATATGCACTGCACATAATGGTGTCCATCCGGAAACATTTTGGAACATGCATATGTAATAATAATCCACAAGCAACCTCAAGAAGATGATTTTTCCTTTCAGCAACACCATTTTGTTGAGGTATTTTAGCACAAGAACTTTAGTGAAGAGACCCACACGAAGCAAAGAGCTTTGTGAGATCATTGTGAAAAATACTCCTTTGCGTTGCCTGACTAGAAAATATGAATCGTAATCTAGAATTAAGTAAAAATCATGAGTTGAAAATCTTTCACAAGCTTTAGCACTTCATTTCTAGATCGCCTGGGATAAATCCAAGTATATCTAGAGTAGTCGTCAACCAATGTAATGAAATACTTATTGCTAGTTTCAGAAGGTAGAGTAACAGGGCCCCAAACATCGGAATAAACAATGTGAAAGGGAAATCCAAATCTTTTATTTCTTAAAGGAAAAGAACTTCTACAATGTTTGCTCAATTGACACGTTTGACGCTACAACTCATTTACTGACAAAGACTCAAATAATTTTAGAAACACAACTTTTAACGATTCAAAAGAAAGATGACCAAGACGACTGTGCCATAAGTAGGCTTGGCTCTCGCTAGACAGACTTAAAGGCTCTTTAGCCACAAGACCAGTTTTACTCTCCAACACGTAGAGACCATTCCTCTACCAATCATCCTCCCAAAAGTCAAATCTCAAAAAACGCAAGAAGGGAAAAAGGTTACTGAGCAATTCAAGGAATGAGTAATGTTGCTAATCGAAAGTAAATTAATAGGCAATTTTGGAATATGCAATACATTAGAGAGGTAAGGCCAAAAGGAGGGGAGATGGTTCCTTGATTGGCTATGGTAGAGAATGACCCATTAGCTAGTCTCACCTTATCTCTCCCAGAAAGGTGGTTATATGCCTGAAGCACATTTGACTTACCAGTCATGTGATTTGAAGCTTTGGAGTCAATTATCCAAGGAGAGTCAGATGTATGAGATGATACATGGAAGGCAGTGGTAGAGTTACTCGATGTAAACGCAAAAGAGGTAGGAGTAGGGCCAAAATCCACATGATGAAGTGTCCTGCCACATAACTCCAAATGGTCACGAAAAGAGCTAATAATTTCTTCCTTAGGATCAGAACCAAAGGGACGTTCCTGAGATACAATGAGACAAGTCTCTTGAGAGGCCACATTTGTTGAGTTATATTTCTTCTAATTCTACTTAATTGTCTTCTTAGTCTGATCAGGTGTTATTTTTTACTTAATTCCTTATCCCACTTAGGCTTCCCATGGAAATCCCAACATGTGTCTCTAGTGTGCATGGACCGCTGACAATGAATGCACAAAAGTCTGTCTTTGCCATCCACCCTCTTTTGGAAGTCTCCCTTCTTAAAAGAACCCCTTCCATTTCCACGTGTACCTCCTCTAATTGCCAAGGCAACTGGCTCCCCCTCTGAACAATTCATCACATTTCTTCTACTCTCTTCAAATTAGACTAAGGCATAGACCTCTTGGACTGAAGATAGGTCCTTACTTCCCAAGATTTGCACCATAATAGAGTCATACCTCATTACCAAAAAGAAGATAGAGTCATACATAGGATTCAGTTCCAAGAGGAATGCAAATACTCGCTGCTAGGAGACAAGGGGTTTGTAGGCTTATGCATCTTCATCACATTTCCAATTCACACTTTGATAATGATCCAACTCCTTCCAAATTGATGTCAAATCTGAGAGACTCCTCTCCCCCTACTTACAAGTGGATGATTCAACTTGCAATTGGCATATTTTTGCATAGTGCCTCTCCTTGAATAGGTAGATTTTGCTTGTTCCCATATTTCATAAGCTATTTCAGCCCACATAAAGGTCTTTCTCATTTGTGGCAGCATAGAAACTAGGAGCCATAACATCACCATACTATTCTCTTGACCCCAACTGTCATGTTCAGCACTTCCAATCTTTGGTTCATTTTGCCATTGATATATTCTATTTTCCATCTAGCAGTAATGTAGAGCTTAATTCCCCTAGACCACTGAAGGTAGTTAAATCCATCAAAGAGGATTACAGCCATAGGGAAATTCATATCAAGCCTCCCACTCATTCCATTTTGACTTACAGGCCAGAAGATGCAGAATCTTCAGAGGACATGATCCAGTTCACCGTTCAGCTCCAAATACACATCCAAGGATCACTTCTAACATAGGTCCATCCCTAGAGAGACACTAGAACTGCAGTCCACATAAACACTCTACAGTCTGGAAACAAAACAGCACTATCTCCCCCAAAAAACAGGTTTCTAGGTTGTTTTCAGGTTTAAACAGATTCAACAGCCACAGTCCACACTTCCAGGCCACTTAATCACCACAACCACCAGGAGAGAACACAACCAGTGTTGTCACATAAAAAAACAGGTCATACATGACCTACAGGAACTTCATATTCAGTTACAAGGATCACACGATCTACTTCATATTCAGCCACCTTAGTTTTATATGTTTTCTTGGTACACGACCAAGAGGAAGAGAGAAAGGAAGAAAAAAACTTCTGCTGTATCAGTTGTAGATGTGTTTCTTGAGCCCAATCTGGAGAAGACACTCAAGACAGCAAGGAAAGGAAGAGAGAGAAAGTATGATAGATCTGACCTCACAAGCCCAATAGTTTTGCTCTGATACCATATTGTCAATGAAACAGAGCAGAAAAATAGAGGAAGAGAGAAGGGGAGAAGAGAAAGGTTGGAGACCAAAACAACTGTGCTGGCGGCGCCAGTTCTAATTAATATATAGGGTGGCATATTTAATGGAGCAAAAGGACAACAATGCCCTTGAGGCACATACTATATATTAACAATTCTGACAGTGACCAATAAAAAAAGAAACAAAGTTTTACCAAAGTTCTTGCAAAAATGAATAAATCAGTGCCAAGTTGAACTTACCTCATGTGATTTGTTGGTTTTTGTAATAGCTGCACTTTGGCAGCAATTTGCAAGTCATTAAGGGGGCTCCTATCTTTTCAATCTGTCAATGATGTTCCACCCCCACCCCCCTTATTGGGCGAGGATTCATTTATGAATGTGTAATAGAAAGCACAAGCTTAATTGGAGCGCTGTGATGGTTCAATGACAGATTTCTTGCTGCATTGACATCTTGAATTCTATTCTTTAGCAAGGACTTCCTGATTAATACTTAGTAGTGTGTGCACCAAAATGCCCTGGGTAACAGTTGCCCCCTGCCCCAAGGCTGGAGCTATTCCTAAAACACCTCCCTCTCCATGCACATGGAAAGGGAGTGGTCTATGTAGAAACTGCTTAGTTTCCAACCTTGGTTATTACTTCAGTGACTGCTTTGTTCTCATTGGCAATGTTGGTGTAACTAAGATAGTTTGGTCACATGCATAGAAGACCACCTACAGCACCCATAAGAACTGATCTGTTACAAGTTGAAGGGGCTAGAAGGGCTAGGGGAAGATAACAAAAGGGAATGGATAGAAATAGTAAGAACAGATTCAAGCACTCATAATTTAATAATGGATATTGGCATTAAACAGAATAGAATGGTGAGACAGGATTCATGTAGCCAATCCCATATAGTTGGGATAAGGCTTAGATGATGATAATTGGCATTGTTGGTACTATTGTTGTTTTTGCTTTTATTTATTTATTTATTTTCCTAGTTGGCTTATGCTCAGGATTTTCTTCATGCATTCTAGTCCTAATTTACAGGGTTGCTTCATTGATTTTATACTTTGTGAGTGTCACATGGTGAAACTTCTCTTTGATCACATTTCACCCATGGATGTAATCATTCACATAAATCACATAAAATCATGTGTTCTAAATCCTTCTTTTTGTTCTTTTTATTATATTGGATAGCTATCAGTCTAGAATATTGTTTCTGCACAAGATTTTATAGTCTAGAAGATCTTTTCATTATCTACTGAATGGTGGCCGGAGTTGCTACTTCCATGTTATTGAACCTTCAGCTAATTTTTATCTGTTATCGTGAATTTGAGTTACAGGTTGATGCAGTGAAGGGAGAGATATATGTTGCTTTCAATACCAGTCATTTACCTGTTATGGTCACGCTGCCGGAGAGGCCTGGTTATAGATGGGAACCTCTAGTTGATACCAGCAAACCATCACCATTCGATTTCCTCTCTGAGGACCTTCCTGAGAGAGATGTAGCAATAAAACAGTATTCGCATTTCCTTGATGCCAACTTATACCCTATGCTTAGTTATTCATCCATTATCCTGACACTCTCTCCAGACGACAAGGCTTAAAGTCCCTAAATGTGATGGCTTTGTATATATACTTCTGTTTATTCTGTATATGGCAGCAGAGTGCATATCTGAGAAGCAATTAATGATTTTACAACTGGAAACTTGCATCAATAAGCTTACCTGTATTGACTGTACCTCAAATAAAAGTTTCTAGCTATTTTATTGAGGCTGCAATCTGATACAGTTTTGTAATGTCATATGGTGCTATATCTATTAGTACCCAAAAAATTGCCATATGGTGCCATTATGTATTGGTAATTCAGTATTGTGAAGCCGCAATTTGATAAAGCTTTGTGTAAAGAGACTGGGCCGAATGGGCCCTAACATCCTCTCTTGTAATATCTTTTATTTTATTGTTGATGGGCCACACTTAATGGGCATGTTATTTATTCTTGTTTTATTTTCTTTATGTAACTGCCAAGCTAGCCGCCCACTTAAGGGCATTCTTGTCTTCATGTAATTTTTAGATCTTAATAAAATAGGGTTAGAGGAGAATGGAGAATTATTCGACTCCTTCTCTTACCTCTTTTTTTCGCCATCTTCTTCTTTTGTATAGCTGCTCAGACTTGTTTTTCTTCTCTAATCCCCAAATTTAATCTTGATACTTGAGGACTGATTTACATCTTGGTATCAGAGCAGGTTTAGTTCTTCTTTTTTCTTTCGTTCCCATACACTCTAAAATCAAGAGAGAGTATGGAGAGATAGGTTCTCTATAGTATAGTCAATCACTTGCCTAGTTGGTAGAGGGTTTGGAGAGTTGAGATCTGGCTGGATTTTGCCAAGAAGTGATGTTCTGCTATTGCCCGAAACCCTAGCCGACTAGAGATCTTCGAGGTTACCAGGAAAGGAGAAGCTTGGGTGTGGTGCTCTGTGCTTGGAAGGTGTCTCGTGATTGCTAAATGAGGGCGGTTCAGGTTTGGAAGAGTTTGGGTTGGTCTGGTGGTGCGGCTGCATCTTCTCTCTTCCCCCCCTCCCCAGCTAAACAGAGCAAAACCCTAGTTTTTCAAGCACCCTAGTTTTTCAAGTAAGTTTATATAGGCAAAATTTCTGGTTCTTTGATTTTCGTTTGATTGATGGAGACATACGAAAGTGAGTTCAAGCAAGTGTCGGTTTCTGGCCTTGGCTCAGTAGATTCTGTTTTGATTTGTGTAACTACAATCAAGCTAGATGGGACAAACTATCTTGCTTGGGCACAGTCTATAAGAATCTATGTTTGTAGTAGAGGAAAACTCGAGTATCTCACAGGCAGTAAGGTGAAACCCAAAGAGACAAACCCTGAATTTGAAAAATGGATGCAAGAGAACTATATTGTCATATGATGGTTGGTCAATTCTATGCAACCCCATATAAGTCAGCACTATCTCTGGATGTTTTCGGCTAAGGAGATATGGGACAGTGTTACTGAGACCTATTCATAGAAACTGAATGTAGCCAGAGCTTATAAGCTGAAAAGTGATGTGAAGAACCTGAGACAGGGGGAGAAGAATGTAGCAATCTACTACTCTATACTAAAATCCCTATGGYAGGAAATTGATGTTATGGAGACAGTGGTATGGGAGAGTAAGAAGGATGCTGAAATGTATAGAAAGTTGGTGGAGAGAAATAAGGTGGAGAGATACTTGTCTTACAGCCTTCTATCCCTTTCCTACTACTCCTTTCTTGCCTCTATTTCTTCCCATGTGATACTCAGGTCTGTACCGGAAGCATTATCTCAAGCTGAATGGAGGGATGCTATGATGACCGAATTAGATGCATTGCATAAGAACCATACCTGGGGTATTGTTGACTTGCCGGAAGGGAAGAAACCAGTGGGTTGTAAATGGGTGTTTACCATTAAATATCACTCGGATGGCTTTGTTGAGAGGTTTAAGGCTCAGTTGGTTGCTAAGGGTTACACTCAAATGTATGACATTGGCTATCTTGAGACATTTGCTCTTGTAGCTAAGATGACCTCAGTCAGGGTTTTACTTTCTCTAACTACTACTTTTGATTGGCCCCTACACCAGTTTGATGTTAAGAATGCCTTCTTGAATGAAGACCTGCATGAAAAGGTCTATATGTCTCTACCTCCAGGAGTGTATGAGAAGGAAATGAAAGGCAAGGTGTGTAAACTACATAGATCTATTTATGGTCTCAAACAGTCTCATCGGGCTTGGTTTGAGAGATTTCGGGCTGCTATTGTCTCCTTTGGCTACACTCAAACATAATCTGATCATACACTGTTCTTGAAGAGAAATGACTCTCTGATGACCTTCTTGATTGTTTATGTTGATGATATTGTGGTCACGGGTAATGACACTAAAGAGGTTAGTAAACTAAAATGATTTCTCAACTCTGAATTTGAAATCAAATATTTGGGAGATCTTAGGTATTTCTTGGGCATTGAAGTTGTTCGATCTAAAGATGGTATCTTCATCTCTCAACGTAAATATGTCATTGATCTTCTTGCTGAAATTGGTAAACTTAGAGCTAAACCCATCTCCACTTCTATTGATCCTAATCATAAGCTTTCTACTACAGATGGTGAACTTTTGTCTGATAAGGGAGTGTTTCAGAGACTGCTTGGGAAGTTGTTATACCTTTGCATGACTCGGCCARATATTTCCTATGCAGTAAGTGTTATTAGYCAATTTATGCATTCTCCCAGAGATACTCATTTAGCTACTATAGAAAGGGTTCTGTGCTACTTGAAAGGTACCTCAGGGAAAGGTATTCTATTTGCTAAACATGGTCACATGAAGCTGGAGGCTTTTACTGATGCAGATTGGGCATGATGTATTGATGATAGAAGATTCACCTCTAGTATTGTGCTCTGTTTGCTAGGAATATTGTGTCATGGAGGAGTAAGAAACAATCTGTTGTTGCTAGATCCTCAGTTGAAGTAGAATACAAGGCAATGGCACATGGTGTGTCAGAATTACTGTGACTACGTTTCCTTCTAGAGGAATTGGGGGTGGATTACGATAAACCAATGATATTCTATTGTGACAATCAAGCTGCTATCAACATTGCACATAATCCTGTTCAACATGACAGAACTAAGCACATTGAGGTTGACAGGCATTTTATAAGGGAAAGAGTTTCTTCAGGAAAAGTCTGTTTACCATTCATCACATCAGAAGAGCAACTGGCTGATATCTTAACCAAGGGAGTTCCAAGAGGGAAATTGACACACTATATAAGCAAGCTGGGCATGATTGACATATATGCTCAGCTTGAGGGGGGAGTGTAAAGAGATTGAGCCGAATGGTCCCTAACATCCTCTCTTGTAATATCTTTTATTTTATTGTTGATGGGCCACACTTAATGGGCCTGTTATTTATTCTTGTTTTATTTTCTTTATGTAACTGCCAAGCTGGCCGCCCACTTAAGGGCATTCTTGTCWTCATBWAATTTTTAGATCTTAATAAAATAGGGTTAGAGGAGAATGGAGAATTATTCGACTCCTCTTACCTCTTCTTTTCACCATCTTCTTCTCTTGTATAACTGTTCAGACCTGTTTTTCTTCTCTAATCCCCAAATTTAATCTTGATACTTGAGAACTGATTTACATCTCTTTGGAATGAATACCACTCTCGAATGTAGTTTTACTAATAGAATGGCTTGGGAGATCTTCGGATCTTCATCGTACCAAAGAAGTTTTGGTTCTTTTCTATTGACAACATTATATGGCTTTTACTTATCAAGATGTTATGGGCTCTACTTATCAATAAGATATATGGGCTTGTGAAGTAACTTTTATGGATGTTTCTTTATTACTTATGATACAGATGAAGAGTCTCTGACCATCTTTTGCCCCCAGTTCATATCTGAATTTTTAAGTCTTTGGTGTATGGTTTAGTTTTACGGGAGTTTGTTTTCTTAATTCATTTCTCCGTTGGAGAGAGATGATCCTCCGTATTGGTGGTCTTTAAATTTATGCCATTTGCAGAGGCTTCTTGAGTGATTTACTCCCGGGTGCTCAGCTTACTTCTTTCTCTAGTAACTTGGTCTGTTGCACTTTTTTTCAGCACTTTTATGACAAGTGTTTTCTGGTTCCTGAAATCTTTTATCTTAGAAAATTTTTAGATTATTTTCTCATTTGTTTGTTAATTGGTTTTTCACATTTCAGAATCGTTGAACTCATATTGTCAAATGTGCTCAATTTGTGAAGCACCAAAATTCAAATTTTGCAAGGTTCTACAGATCATTGAATCTTGTTTGCATCGTCAAATCTTTCAACGGTTTCACAGCTAAGCAAATATTAACAAATTACTAATTGAGTGATTAGAGGGGAGGTTTTTGTCGGATGACAACTGACAGGGGAGGTTTTTAGTCCATTTTGTAAAGAGGGGAAGTTTCAGTACTTATGTGAAAATTCAAGGGAGGTTTAAGTCTTTTGCCCAATATTTTCTCCACTATCTACAGAACCAGATGAAATAGATGAAAATTGATAACTTGCCTCCACCGGTAATTCCAAGAGTGTTGTATATCAAGCCTATGCGCACACCCAAAGGCACCGAGTCCCTTAAAGTCCAAATTTATATGCTAAGAGAGTTTTTTTCATCCAACCTTCTAATAAAGAAAATTTTCAAACATAAATCATGACTTTGATATCTGGATCTACAACACAATATCTGAACTGTCTATAAACTAAAGATGGGAAATTCATGGTCTCTTACTACTAGAGAAGCTATATTATAGATTCATTCTTCAATCTCTGAACCCTCATTGTTTAAAGGATTTAAGACGGAGGAATAAAAGGGGAGGTAGAAACTAAATAGCCTATCTAATTGTTGTCTTTTGATGTCCTATATCTATTACTATATTAAAACAAACTCGCCACGTCAGATGGCCTGTCCTTTCTCCTCTCACCAATTTAGGCTTCTCAATAGTTGCTTCTCTCTCCTCAAAATACCTTTATTAGCACTCTCGACTTGCCACCTCAGCACTCATGTTTCTCCTTCCTTTTACATTCTTGGATGAAGTTCTAAATTAATTCTAAGGTGGATTCATATTCAATCCAATAGTGGTCCGTGGGGCCCATAGCGGGCCGAGCATGGCCCACCGAAAACTAGTCGTTGCCCCCCCAATGGCTAGTTTCAGCTTAAAATTCCCGATAGGTACCCTGTACTTTAAGACAAGTGCCAATTTAGTACCCGAGCTTTAAAACACAACAATCTAGTACCTGAATTTTTATTTTGCGACAATCTAGTACCCGACGTTAAGCAGCCGTTAAGTGATATGTAAAAAGACAAAAATGCCCTTCAAGTTTCATCTAATTTTTTTTTTTTCAATCATCCGGTAAAACCAGACCGGCAGTGTTGCCTATTCATCGTCTCATCTCTCCTCACTCTTTCCTCCTCTCCCCTCTAATTTGTTAGTCTAAGA